TCAGCACTGCACCTCACCTCTGACGCAGTGAGCCAGGACTGGTGGCGGCAGGGTGGGAGGCAGCACGGAGGGGCCCGGCAGGAAGGGGAGCAAGGGGATGTTCCTTCCCTCTGTGCCTCCATCCTCCACTGACACCGACCCTGGCTCCAGGCACCAGCAGTCACCACGCTGCAGGCATGGTGTGCTCTGCACTACCTTGGTGAGCTTTACAAGGTGCCATCTCTGGCACGGAGCCCTCAATGGTGCCAAAGGGATACTTGTTGGTCCTGGGTGAGGTGTGCAGGCTGCTGGGATTCAGAAGAGAGCCTCATGGCACATCATGCTGCAGTGCTGTAGCTTACAGGCTATCGGGTCGTAGGCAGCAGACCCCCCCTCTCCCACTGGGGCTATCACCAACAGATAGACCAGTGCTCAATAAGCTTAAGACTGAAATTCAGATCCCTGTTCTGAACCAGATAAAGCAGAAGCTTGATTCTGCATGTCCTACATCCCAAAGGTGTGTTTTAATTACTGCGATATGAACTCCTTGGAGGGCAGAAGATGGGTAATGAAGGAATTTCCTCCTTATGATCAGGAATTCAGTCTTGGATCCAAGAAATCTTTCCTGTTAAAACTGATTGATTTACTGCCACAAAAATTTTTGGTCAAATCACTATTTCCTGTCCTGCTCCCCCCAGACTTAAATTGAAAATGCCCTGTTGTGCTTTTAGAGAACTTAATTTGCCTTCCTGAAGTTTCTTGCCTCATGCATTGTACAAGTTTCATAGCAAGCAAAACAGCAATTCACTGAGCAATTCCAATTCCCCACCATTAGTTTGTACATTTTTCAAAAAAACTGAGGCAGAGGACTGGTGGAAAAGTAGTCTGCAAACATAACCAAAGACTGAATCACAGCAAACATAACCTAAAAGGTACTAAGAAGCTGCACAGTTAACCTTCTTACTATTACTTCCTAACCTTTATTTTGCACAGCTTGAGTTCGTAAACCTAATAATATTCTTTTAATAGCATTTTTTGTTGACTTATAGCAAATTCATCACAGAAACAGAAAATAAAAATTCCACTATATGGTGTGATATTGCCACTCACCTCTGCTACTTGAGCCAACTAAGTACTCACAGCAGTGGTATGTTGTCATCTTCTTTGTGAGCCACTGCTAGAAGAGGCCACTTACCAGCAGGCTACAATGATATTTTCCGATTCTGACTCTACTTCTACCTTGAGGTACATTGCAGGAAAGCAAGGGAACAGGCTGTAACACTCCTTGTATTTTCTTTCTTTTGACCTCGCACAAGGGTTTTCCCATCGCCTTACAAAAGCAGTTCCCTTTTCTGACTCCAGGTTGTTTTATCCTATCTGTTTTCCTCCCAACCCACTGCTACCACACCGTTTCCGTCCCTGACTTCCTTCCTGGCTGGTTTTTGTCCTCCCATGGTTTACCCCATGTCTGGAGCACAGACTGTGAAGGTACTTCACCAGTGGGTTCAACTGTCCCAGCTCCTACTCCGTAATTCCAACCTTTTCCATAATGGATTTTCACTACTTGCCTTTCTCCCTTAGCCCAGCTACCTGCTCCTCCAGCTGAACATCTTTAAAATAAACAACTTTTTACTCCATACTCCATGCTGCACAGCAAAGTAGGGATTGAAAGCTGAAAGATGAGCACCTGCCCGCCTTAGTTCTGTTTGGCTGCCCCAATCCAATCTGCTGGGGACAGGTTCTGCTCAGCATCATTGTTGGACCCTGCCCAGGGAGAGCTGAGTCTTTAAGCAATTCAGATGCAAAGCTTGGAATGTGTTAACGGCAGCTTCTAATAATTTGGTCAAGTTTTCTCATTATTTTCATAAAAAATGCCCAGAAACATGTAACTGAAATACCGTTCAATTCACTACCAAATTTCAAAACCCTGCTAGATTTTTAGAAGTATGTGAGCATTACAGCTTCTACAAATCCACAGTTTTGAGAATATTTTAACATAGATAAAATTAATTTTTGCCCTAACTTCAATTAAAATGACCTAGTAGCTCTAACTAATATTTCTCAAGATAATTCAAAATGATTTTATAATTCAGTTAATATTTAGAACAATTATAAGCAACTGAAAACCTGATATGTAGCAGGAAATCTTAGGTAATAATAATAGGCCTGTTACAAAAAAATACATATCTATCCATATATTTACATATATGCAGATTCACTGTCATCTTTTGGATGTCTCCAACTGAGGTTCTGTCAGAGCTTCCATTTTAAATACCTCTATCAAAAAAATACCTTGACCCAAAGAAAAGATGTTGATGTTCTTAAGGGTAAGGTTACCATGAGATAAAGGTGTACACGACTGGGCTGCATTTATTTTTTATAGACTCTTTTTTCCTGTATAAATTTTTGTGATAGCTGTTTTACGTATATGAAAATATTTTACCATGAGGAATAGATGATATGCTTTTTACTGCTGCATATATTCGTGCAGTATTGCACAAAACTGCACATGCTTTGATGTTCAGGTTGGGAAATTAATCACCATGGTTCTGTTTGTTCCACGAGTGGGTGACCTCCATCTTTATTACCAATTTTCAGTTCTATTCAAAAGAAGTGACGCCTTATCTTTTCATTAGATTATTAAACAGACTTTGGCGACAAGACTGAAATTCACATAGAAGAATATTCTTGCGTGTAAAGATATTCATTATGTTGTTACAGTACATTGCATTTCGATATTTGAAAACATTTAAATTAAGACATACTTGGAAGCTATCAGACTACTTGCAAGTAAAGATTCACAGCCTCCACATAGCTGAAAGCAAGAGTTCTAAGAAACAAATTTTCAAGAAAGGAAAGTCAAACTTTTTAAGGCAGAGAAGCTCATTCTAAGAAGGGCAGCTATATTAGGCAAATGTTAAATACTCAGTCAAAACACAGCTGTGCGCAGAAATTTTGTTGTAAAACTGATAAAGAACCCAGTTAGTAGGATGAATGAGACACTCTTCCTGTTCCACAAGTTTTACAAGATTTCAAGATACAATGCTGTGTTCAGGAGAAACCAAGCTCTCTCAAAGGCTACTAAGAGAAATCTGCAGCCTTGTAAAGACAGAGACCTGGCTGGAGCATTCACCTGCGATCTAGGACATTTGAGTTTAAGTTCCTTCTTTCTTGTATTTGAGCAGGGACTTGAACTTGGGTGTCTCGTATCTCAGCTGAGTGCCCTAACACGAGTATGTAGACTCCTGGCAACATTCTGTGGTGGGTTGACCTTGGCTGGATGCCAAGTGCCCACCAAAGCTCCTCTGTCACTCCGTGCCTCCTCAACTGGACAGGGGAGAGAAAATATAATGAAAAGCTCGTGGGTCGAGATAAGGGCAGGGATAGATCATTCATCCATTACTGTCACAGGCAAAACAGCCATGACTTGGGGAAATGAGCTTAATTTATTACCAATCAAATCAGAGTAGGGTATGAGAAATAAAACTAAATCTTAAAACACCTTCCCCCCTACCCCTCCCTTCTTCCTGGGCTTAACTTTACTCCTAATTTTCTCTACCTCCCCTGCCAGTGGTGCAAGGGGACAGGGAATGGGGGTTGCGGTCAGTTCATCACACGTTGTTTCTGACACTCCTTCCTCCTCAGGGGGAAGACTCCTCACACTCTTCCCCTGCTCCAGCGTGGGGTCCCTCCCATGGCAGACAGTCCTCCATGAACTTCTCCAACGCGAGTCCTTCCCACAGGGCTGCAGTTCTTCATGAATTGCTCCAGCGTTTGTCCCTTCCATGGGGTGCAGTCCTTCAGGAACAGACTGCTCCAGTGTGGATCCCCCACAGGGTCACAGGTCCTGCCAGCAAACCTGTTCCAGTGTGGGCTCCTCTCTCCATGGGTCCATGGGTGCCAGGAGCCTGATCCAGCGCGGGCTTCCCATGGGGTCACAGCCTCCTTCGGGCATCCACCGGCTCCGGTGTGGGGTCCTCCAGGGGCTGCAGGTGGATCTCTGCTCCTCTGTTAACCTCCATGGGCTGCAAGGGACAGCCTGCCTCACCACGGTCTTCACCAGGGGCTTCAGGGGAATCTCTGCTCTGGCACCTGGAGCGCCTCCTCCCCCTCCTTCACTGACATTGGCGTCCGCAAAGTTGCTCCTTTGGCTCTATTGGACACAGGGGAAGCTTCGAGCAGCTTCTCACAGAAGCCACACCTGTAGCCCCCCTGCTACCAAAACCTTGCCACGGAAACCAAATACAGATTCATCTCGGCTACCTCCAGGTATCCCTACACAGGGAATGAGCCAGCTGTGGCAGCGGAGTCTCAGATATAATACATCTTGTGCTAGAGGAAAGGCTGAGCTCAGTCCACATGAGCTGAGACTCCAAAGCGACCGCCTTTTCCTCTTTACTCTAAGGACACCTTGGGATGACAAGCTTCAGTGTAGCCACCTGTACTGTAGATGGTGACATTTAGCTACATCTTCCCAGGTAAGCTTGTTTTCCTTTCTGACTAATAAATGTTTAATTACTTATACAACTGGACAAGCTTCAGTCCAAAAAGACAGATGTAAGATGACAGATATGTAAGTTATGAACCTAGCTATACAGTTTTTTAAAAAGTCTCCCCTTTCCATCGTCTAATATCAGTAGCTATCACTACTAGTAATCTTATCAAAGATAATGCATAATATCAATAATATCCATATAATTTCAGGTATTCTGAAACCATCACTTCTATTTAACCAGAAGAACATCTCTTCAGATTGTATTTACCTTACGGATGGCTACTTCTCCCCACTGAGACAAACAGCAAAACATGAAAACTGAACATAAGCAGGATAAACCAAAATCAGTACTATATGAAGTTTATCTGGTAGTGTTTTTAAAATTATTTCCAGTGCCAGGATTTCTGAATTATGGGTATCATGATTTTCTCACAGCAGAGAGAAGGCTATTTTTAGCTTACAGATATGAATTGAGAGTAGTATACTTTACAGCCAATTTGTAGATAGCATCATTATAGGTACTTACCTAAGCTTGATCTTGTGTTGGATCGCTCTATTATCGCGTGCTTACTGGGGTTGTTTAATACTGAGCGTTTGGCAAGCGAGATGTCTGCTGTGACTCGTGTAATTGATATACTGCAACAATAAAATAAAGTAAAATAGAACAGAATGTTATTTATCTTGCAGGGATGTGGGGAGAAAAAGAGACTCGTTTAACACTAGAAGATGGCTAAGACTACAGGAAACCAAGTTCTCCTCAGCAGCACAGTATGCTTTGCACAATGTGAACAGAGAAGAAACTTTAACTAATACTGTTACAAGAACTGCTGATAAGACATCCCCCTTTCTGCACAGTACTGAAATGCAGTATGACCACTGACTGCAAAGCTACAGGTGTCTGGTGAGAGGGGAGGCGGGGGGATGTCAGAGACGTGCTGCAAAAGATGGAACTTCCCTAGGGGCTCCAGGCCTGATGTGGTTAGACTTTGCACCAGTATCCCCAGTATGAATAGGCTGGTTTTAATGGCTGGTTTCTTCTTTCCCTACATTTGATTAATTTGTTGAAAGGTACTGAACAACAACCTGGCCTACTTTAACCATATGTATAAGACATATAGGGATATGCAGAGTTAAAGGTAAGGCTTAGCAGGGAAACTAGTACAGCCATATAGCTCTTATTTTTATTGTTCAGTTTACTCGCACTGTTTTTTAACAGAGTGCGAGAGTTACCTATAATTTTCCAGAAAGATCCAGCAATATGCTGGTCACCCAAAAATGGAGACTGCAACACAGAGAAGCAAGCAAATGAAAACTCTGGGCTGAGCATCTGGCAGGCTGAGTTTTGTGTTTATGAGAAAAGATAAGCCAAGAAAGAAGTGGTTACTTCCAGTTGTTTGCACTGACCTGCTACATAACCTTCTGCATATTCTTCTTCCTAGGAAAACAGTTAACTCTGTTTGTTTTGCTTTACAGGGTCAAAATGCACCCTTTGGATAAATTCCCTTTCAAACTTTCTGGTCTAAGGAGGTTTAGGGGTCACATTTTTCCAGTGCTGAGCTAAATCAGACTGATGATATTCCCTTGTTCTTCCTTGCGTGATTTTACTTGCAATTTAAAAGGAGGAAATGGATTTGCTAAGAACAGGGAGGGCTCCTCTCTAGCAAGCACAGTCAGATGCTCTTCATCTGAAATGTAACCAAATAGGTCATTTCCCAATGAGCTCAACATGTGTATATATTTATCTAAAACCCTACAAAATATAACAAAGCCAGAAGTTAATACAGAAAACCAGAATTATTTGCACAATACTGATTAGTAACATCATTTTGGAAATTTAGGCATGATTTAACTTAAGCTAAAAACATAACCAAAGATTGTGATTTCTGGCACAGCTCCTCACAGATAATGCCATTAGTCTTAAAATGAAATCCAACATGTAAGTTGGGGTACTCAGTAGTTATCTTTATTTGCTAATGGATGAACACTACAAACTTTTACAGCTCTTCCCCCCCCCCCTTTTCTTTCCTGGCAGTCTTCCTTCCTACATGCAATAGAAAATAATTTTTCCCTTTTTCAAATGCAATTATGGTATACTGAATAAAGCTAGATTTATCAGTCTAAAAATGCTATTTTTCATTTTAAGATCTTTTAACATCTTTTTGAGGTCATTTTAATGTCTTTTGAGATATGTAACACCAGGAAGAACAAGACTTCTCTTGAAACAAAGGGTATGTATGTTCATATAGCGAAACAATTGCAATTAGAGTGGAGACAGCATGACAGTAGAGTGGCAGTGAAAGCAGTAGCATGAATCTAAGAACCTCCTGTACAAATTTGTCGAGGACCTTGAGTACCGATTCAGAATGCTACTGAAGTTTGGGATGCTTCAAATCTGCTACTATAGGTATCAATTGTATTGAGAGTATTTGTGGATTCTCTCTGCCATAATTCGATCTACAACTGAAAATTTTATGTGCTCTAAAATACTTTAACACATAAAGATGCAACAACTTTTTTCTGTTTGCAACATTCACTATTTTGTTAACTTCCAATTCTGAAGGTACATATCCAATATTTGACAATCCTGACTAATATAAAGAAGGACTACTAAGTGGTTAGGTCTCAACATCATCATTCTGACTGAGAAAATCCAACAGCTTAAAAAACAACGTCCAGTATTTGAAAGAGCTGAAGCTATTGACAGAAAACCTTAAGCTCCCTCTTGAAAGTTTGACAGCACCAGGACAGATAGAATAGCGTTACTGCTCTGCCCACTTCCAAACTAAATAGAACATTCATTGAAGTTACAGATATAATAACAAGACCTTCTCATTTTTTCAATTTTTCCCCCTAAATGTCAACCCACTAGCACGTATTAATCTGGGGCCTGATCCAGTAGCAGTATAGACACATGTGGAGAATCCACCTGATGTCTATGATCCATGAGTCCGTGATGTTTGAATTACAGAACATGCCACTGCTTTTAGAGACAGATTATCATTTGATATTTGTATTACAGTAATGCCTGGAGGCTCAAATACAAATCAGATTGGACTTTGCCGAGTACGCTGTGGGGGACAGGCTGTAACAGCACTCAGATCAAAACCCAGCAAAGTGCAGCCTGTCTGCTACCAAGGGTGACCAT